ACTCGTGCAGAAGAGGCCGCACCACAGTGCTGCCCTCCGTGTGGGCCTTGAACATCAAGGTGTACAGATATGGCAACAGGGTGTATCGGGTCTCCATCACACTCCTGGAAATATTCACAAAGGCAGCATCCCAGGACACAGGGTCTTGTCTCTAAGGAATAAAAGCAAAGGTGTTGAGAGCCCAACCCAGGGACCCTAGGGGGCAAAGAAGGTAAAGGAAAGCTTGATCCAAGTACATCACACACAGCTAAGATAAAGGTGATTACAAGTGACACTCTGGAATACACTTAAGAGTTCAATAATAGTCAGTGAGGATCTTCCAGGAGACCGCATGGAACTTTCCCAGAAAAAACACTTCAGGGATATACTTGGAGCAATCCTTCCTATACCTAAAGAATCCTCTGATAATCCTGTGCATTTTGGCAATTGTGAGGAGCTTTGATGGTTTTGAAAATCTCCCAGGAACAAAGATGGTCTGGACTGGGACTCCAAGGTGAAGGCTGCACAGCATGTGAGGCAAAGCACGTGAGGAAGGAGGAAGGTCCTACCCTGGTGCCAATGGTGTTGTGGTTCCTGGAGAAGGGGTAAAAGGCTCCCAGCTGCATCCAGCGAGCACACATCTCATACTCAGCATCTTGAAAGAACCCACAGATATCTGCTCCCGTCTGAAACCAGAGGAAATGAAACCAGCCTGTGGGTGGGTGATTGCTCACGGAGGGTCAGTGTCCTCTTAGGGATGAGGAGGAGCAAAGGTCACTTACATAGGAGATGCCAAAGAGGCTGAACTCCATCATGCCTGCAATGAGAACCACGGCTGTCAGGAGAGGCATGTGTGTGCCCCGCCCTCTCCTCCCTCCTTTCCCAAGGACACCAGCTCCCTTCCCTGCAGCAGAGGCCCCTGGGAAGAAGCCACACACCAATGATAGATTTCTTCAGCTGGTCCCATGCGGCAGTGTTGTCTCCCAGCCAGTGTCCTCCCCAGCGGCCAGAGGAGGGGAATGTGGAGCGGGTGATGACGATCCCTCGCTGTCCAGTCACCTCCTGCACAGCTCTGTAGGAGGGGAATGTACAGGTGAATTGAGGACACAGCAAGAAGAATGGA